TATCTTGAGATTAGTAATTCTTATAGTTTTATTTAGTTTAGTTTATTAGTTTTAGTATTATTTTTATCCTATTGTCTTTGTAAATTGTAGAAAGTTTACATGGATAACTGTAGTTTACTTTGAAATTACGTTTCAAAGTTTTGGATATAAAATGAAACTGTAAAAAAATTTGCGAGTATTCATAATTAAAAAAAATACATATTTCAATCCATTTGTAAGCTAGCTTATTATAAAAAAATATTCAATTATTTTCATACCTTTTGAACAGTTTTAATTAGTCATTCAAAAGCAGTTTACTATGAAACTACATTTCAAAGTTCTAGATTTCAATGGAACTGTAAAAAAATCGTGAGTATTCATTATTAAAGAAAAATTCATATTTCAATCTGTTTGTAAGCCAGCTTAATGAAAATAAAGATTCAATTATTCCCATACCTTCTGAACAGTTTTCATTTGTCACTCAAAGGCAGTTTTATTTGAAATTACGTTTCAAAGTTCCAGATGTAAAATAGAACTGCAAAAAAATTTGTTAGTATAAGTAATTAAAGAAAAGATCACATTTCAATCAGTTTGTAAGCCAACTTAGTGAAAAATAGATATTCAATTACTTTCATACTTTCTGAACAGTTTTAATTATTCGCTCAAAGGCAGTTTCTTTGAATTTGCATTCAAAGTTCTGGATGTAAAATGGAACTGTAAAAAAATTCGTGATTATTTGTAATTAAAGAAAAATTTCAATCCATTTATAAGCCAGCTTAACAAAAACAAATATTCAAGTACTTTCACACCTTCTGAACAATTTTAATTATTTGTTCACAAATGTTAAAAAATAAAAAACCTACCATATTTCTTTAAATAATAGAATCCATAATAAATTTTATTAAAAGTCAATGATGTAACCATGAAAAGTTTTAAAATAGAATACGAGCTCTTTATCTTTCCCACTAAGCTAAGAGAGAATTAGATTTTCCAATTTTACAATGTTACTGGGAAATCTACTCAGTTATAGGAGATCACCTGTTATCTTTACTAGGCAACAAAATTTAAATAAACCTCATAACTGAAAGCCAATTAAAATAGTATCATGGAGTCTGAAATACACCAATCAAGAGTCTTTTAAAGGCGACATTAAGAGTTTTACTAATAGTGGAGATAAATACCTTTAAGTAATAAGAAACTTAAATTGAAGAACCAAAAATGAGAAATATAGAATTCATTTCACTTACCAGATTCATTGATTTAAATTTATCAGTTGATATGTCTAGTTAGATGAAAGAAACATGATAAAAAATGCAAGTGAAAAGTCAACTGGATCTTTTAATTAATGCAAAAAAGATAATAATTGGACTAGAAAATATATTAATAAAAGTTAGTTAGAACAAATGTGACAAAGTAGTTCGATGAGAATATATAGTAATAAACAATTTGATTATTTAAACTAATTTCCCATAAAATATTAATTTTATATTAATATAAATTTTTAATCTAGATGATTTCTTATAAAAGAGAAAGTTACCCTACAATTATTTTTCACCTGATAATCAATGTATCATTGAGTATATCATAATTTCAACTAATTAAAAGGTGCATCATTGACTTCAATCATTTTTTTTATTAAAAAAAATCAACATCGATCTAAAAGATATTATTAATCCATGTCTCAATTTCATTATTCAAATGAAAAGATGATAAAATTGAAATAAAAAAGGATCATTACATTCTAATAGTATCAAACCTTAGAAAAAATAATGTTGCTTCCTCGGGATTCATTTCTTGATGAATTAATAAATGTTTCTAATTAAATTAATTTGATTCAATGAGTTTATTTCTAAATAATTGTTTATTTTATTACATTAAATAAAAAGGTAATAGTTAACAATGACAATTTTTACTATCATTCAATTTTTTTTTTATATTTTCAAAAATTTAATTATTTTATCACCTTGAAATTCTTACTATTCCTCATTTTGTACCCTTCAGCAGGTTGCAGATTACATACGTATCTCTCTCAATTCTTACAGTACAACAATACTCAAGTTCATTCCAGGCTTCAACTTCTTGAAATGAAAGTTCAACACAATAGTCATATGTCAAGGTCATAAAAGCTAACATTGAATGATATCTAAGATCGTATAATTAATTGCCTCTTTCTTTTTGTCTTTTTCTCAATAATTCATTGTTATTTTCTACCCTTCTTGACAATTTGATAATCCATTGAGTTGCAGAAATAAATTAAAATTGCCAAAAGAAATGTAACAAGGCATAAAAAAACTTGACAATAAAATAAAATTTTTTTCAAGATAATTTTATTTCAAGAAATAAATTGAAATCTAATTTTAAAGAAAAATATGATTATAGCTATAAGATCTAATTTAATTGTCACCAAGTGATTATACATAATATAATCTCGCTTCATTTTGAAAGGAAATAAGAAATAAATTGAAATCTAATTTTAAAGAAAAAGAAAATTCTAGCTTTAAGATCTAATCTAATCGTCACCAAGTGATTATTCTTGATATAATCTCAATTTCAAAAGAAAATAAGAAATAAATTGAAATCTAATTTTAAAGAAAATATGGTTATAGCTATAAAATCTAATTTAATCATCACCAAGTGATTATTAATAATATAATCTCTCTTATTATAGCTCACCATTATAATAACCAAATATAATCAGCATAAAATAAAGAACATTCAAGAAAACCATTAAGAGATCAATCCTATTCGAAAGTAAACATTACCATCATTCATATACCCCATCCATTATTGCTTTGTTACATGCTTGTGCAGTCATTTTAAGATCATTTCGTAATTTATAAAATGTTTTAATTTCTTCTTGAAACTTTGAACCATCACCAAATAATTTCTTAATTCTTTCCAAGTTCTGTTGATGAATATTTGTAAAATCTGAATCTTTTATTTCAGTTCGGATCTCATTGGCTTTCATGACATATAAATTTAGAGATCTTTTTGTTCTATTATATGTCTCTTTTTGCTGTTCAAAGTGTTTACATAATTTCTGATATTCGTTTAACGTTTCAATTTTATATTTGTTATGTTCATCGGTAGATGTTGCTTTTGTAGTATTTGATGATGAAGTGTTTGTCAATTTTCTGCGTTTCTTTAGAATAATAGGAATATCTTCTTCACAATTATCATTTTCCCTATTATGTTTCTTGGTATTCGTATTAAATGATAGAATATGTTCTCTCACATTATTTGAAATTGTAACAACATCAGCAGATGTCATTTTTGTGTTATATGATGAGGTAACTTTTAATTTTCTACGTTTCCTTAGAATAATAAGTGGAGTATTTTCTTCTGAAACATAATTATCGGTTGATTCATTTAGCACCTTCTCAATATTCCCCTCATTCTCGTCTGATCCTTCTCTCGATTCTGCTTCCAATCCTGCCACCAATTCATCCCCTTCAATTAATCTGGTATCTTTCACCTCTAAAACTTCCAAAAGTTCACCTTTCAATTCGTTTTCCCAATTATCCATTTCATCAGATGGTTGGGATATAATTTCTTCATTCTCATTTTCAGAATTTGATAATGAGTATGCTCCTATTATTGAACCTTCTACCATAACTTCTGTTACTTCTATTTCTTCTATTTCTTCTTGTCTCCCCTTTCCTTTTTCTCTTGTACCATTTGTTGCTGTCTTTCGTACACCCCCTTCTCTTACTTTATGAGGTTGTACAGTATTGGTATCAGTTTTTCTCCCACTACCGCTACTATCACCTCTACCGCCTCCGTTTTTTCCTCTTCCAACTCTTCTGCTTGTTGAAGCCACGTTTGTTTTGTTATTATTTTTCATATTAATTGAATAATATATCGTGTTAAGTGTGTTAAGTATACTTGAATTCTTGGAATTTAGTTGTTGTTGTTATTTGGTGTTTTTATGTTTACGTTGGATACTATTCTTTAAGATTTTTAAAATTTGAAAATTTTTTTTCTTAAAAATTGAAAATAGGGGAGAGGTCAATCAAAATAGTAAAAAGATGAATATATGATATAGTTGATGTCATAATTGATCATGATATACTCCCATCATCATATCATGTGAGTACTGACGTGTAGATTACCTGGATTAACCTTGTGTAATGCATAATCATCACAAATTTTTAAGAAATATTTTTAAAAAAAATGAAACAATAAATATCAGAAGAGAATTATCATCAAAAGATCCAGGGATTTCCAAAAAAAGAATAAATGAGAAGCGAAGAATGGTGATGGATAAAGCCAATGTACGTCTTCGTCTAAATATTTATATTGAAGATAAGAAATTTAGTTATTTACTTTATTTAAAGCCTTTATTCAATGCAAGGAAATATAATAAAATAAAAATGAATTTTTAGAAAAAACAAAAGATAAAAAATGATTAAATAATATATTTCTTGATAAAAAATATAAATACGAGACACGTTATTTCTCTGCATCCAGCTAGGCCATAATCATTATCCTCATCGTCTTTACTATCATTGTCTCCTCTTCGATTATTATTATCATCATCGTTATCATCTTTACACCCACCTATTAGGAATATTTTTTATCATTTATAATTAATTAATGTTTTTATCATTAGAATTTAAAATAAATAAAAATTATAAATCTTTTTCATCAGTTTTCTTTTCCTCCATTTCAAATTCTTTTGAATATTGGGCCACAGCAATTGTGTTTTTTTCTCAAACAAACGGAAAGAAAATGATAAAATTTATATAATAAAAATTCAAAATTAGGAGATAAGAAACAATATATGAATCAATTAACAATTTTAATTAATGAACTTATTAATGGTTCGATGAACTCAAATGAACAATAAAATAAACGATGTAATTAAGACTAATTAAGCATAATTAACATAATAATGATATCTGATTGACGATTATTTAATGAAACCATGAAATAAATTAACATTTAAATATAATCTTATTTCATAAATCAAACATATGTTTATTTATAATTGAAAATAATTGAATACATATAAAAAAGGATTAAATATCTGAAATAAAAAAATATAAAAGAAAAATGAATATAAATTATTTAATTATATCTTTGCTTTTTGTCAATATGCCCATCTTCGCCATAATTATTTTCATCATCGTCATCATCTTTTATAAAAGAATTTAAAGAATAATTAGTATTTCTATAACCTTTTAATATGTAAAATATAATATAAATACTGTATATACTTACCACGACCTCTTTTGTTACTTTTATTATTGTTTTGCTGTCCCATCGATACAGCTGCCAACAAAAGTCTAATTTTCTGTTGTTGTTGTTGAAGTTTGTGAGAAATTCCTAATTTTACCTCACAAACTTGTTCCATCCTTTGATGGTATTGTTTTATACCATATCGTTGTTGCTGTTGGCTTTGTTGCAACAATTGTTTATTTCTATTACCATGTTTAGTTTCATGGTATTTTTTTGGCAATTCTATATTGCTACGGTTTAATTTTGGTTTGTAAGAATGGTCAAGATAACGTTGAAGATATCTTTGTAAATAATTATAATTTTGTTGTTGTCGTTGTTGATGATGACGATGCTGGTTTTGTTGTAAATCGCGATTCACTTGTTGAATCACATATCGTTGTTGTTGCTGAATTTGTTGTTGTTGTTGGTGTTGTTGATTTTGGACTTGTTGAATTACTTGTCCTTGTAATTGTTAGATATATAGTTGTTGTTGTTGATGTTGATGGTTCTGTAGTTGTTGTTGAATATTTGGATGCTGTGGTCGTTGTTGGTTTTGCTGTTGTTGTTGTTGATTATAAAGAAAAGCCATTATAGAAAATTGAATATTTTTTATTTTTGAATATAAGAGGTTTGATATGAATTTTTTAACGTTATTAAAAGTAAGTTGTCAATGTTTTGTATTTGAATCTTTTTCAATTGCTCCATTTCTTTCCCTTTAAATAAGATATTTGGTGTCTGAATATATTTTGGGGGATAGTTTTTTTTTTTATAATAATTAAGCCGGTCACGTTATTCTTATTATTAAAAAAAAAGACCTCACAAAAAATTTTTGTAGATTTGTTTTTTTAATTATAAGGACAATATGTGACTTTACCATATTTGATATTACAAGTCTACAAAAATTTTTGGGGTTTTTTTTTAATAATAAGAATAATGTGTGATTTTCCCATATTTGATATCACCGGTTTAAAAATTTTTTTTGTTTGTT